TATTAATTTTGTATTTATTATATTTTGATATAAAATTCAACTATATGAGCCACTGTACATATTTATATTCAAGAAAAGAGAAGGAAAAGGCATTCCCAGTATATATATATCATTAACTTTAGTTATGCCACTTAAGACAAAATCAACAGTATATAAATAGACCATAGCTTAAAAATAAGCTTTAGTTGCTTTTGCATATGTAAATACAAAAAATCATATATTATTATACTAAATGCGTATAAAATTTCGATACACTGCATACAAGACTTTGCAATTTGAGCTACTTTTGATCTACAGTAAATCAACATTTAATCACATTATGATCTTATGCACCTGGCCACGATTAACAGTTTTTGTGTTGTTAATATGTGCTCGAATTAGACTCTGTAGTCGAATTGATGGGGATCCAGTTCGAAGCGTTTGAGGCGCTCCGCATATTGGCCAAAGAAGAAACTCTCGAGCTGTAAGATTTTAAAGTTGCGATAGTCCTGCTCGGAATGGAAGCGCGTGTTATAGGCGCAAATGCATTGGTTGGGCAATGTCTCGATATATTTGGGCAGATTCGGTAGATCCATGTCGCAGGGCATATGCAAAACGTTGACATCGGCTAGAGCGATTTGGCACGACATCAACTGTCTGGGTCGTCGAATGTGATCCATGGGTAAAGTGGCAGCCTCTAAAGCAGTCGTAACAGCTGTGAAGCCATCGGATGACTTGGGGTCCCTTACGGAGTCCGTTAGGGTCAAGGTAATGGATCTGGCCCGGCTGCTGGGCAAACTATTCTGCGGGCGGGCAGGGATTCTGTGTGTAAGAAAGAGTGAAAGAGAGAGAACAGCAGATAGGAGAAGTCTAAGAGACAGTCTTACCAATGCAATCAGTGCGCCAGCCATTGTTAGTAATATTTTAATTGGAAACTGCATTTTCATTAGGTATTCATTAATATATATATAAGTATGTGTATGTATTTGTGTTTTTGTTTTTGTTTTTTATGTCTGTAAAAAATGATGTGTGAAATGTTGAGTCGTTGTTTACTAGGACCCTAGTTGGATTTATGTTTATTATGGCAAGTCAGAGTTCGCTTAAGCCAAGCCGACGCCAAACGAAGGTTCATAAAACGCGCGCACACTTGCAAATTATGGCCAACATGTGCGCGAGGCGAAAATTGATAACCACTTGCCTGACATTTTTCACACACTATCAACACACACACATACACATATATAGCAGCACACACACACACACACACTAACCCGATATAGCATCAATTACCCACGCCATGTGTTGGTCAGACAGCAACGCTTGAAGACTCGCAGCGGTAGTTGGCTAGGAATTGAAACAGGCAAGCGTGTGAGTAGCTGGGGTAGACTAAACTATGAGATACCCAGCATTCATACTGATTTTTGTTGCTGGTCATCAAAAATATTTTAAATAATAATTCAGTCTTTGTTTAGTTCTCGATAAACCTGACTAAAAACATAAACGAAATCTAGTTTTTAAATTGATAAAGTGCAATTTATAATGATTATTTGGGCGGCACATACTTATATTAATTTGTACTAGTCTTACTCTTCTTAATCTATTAAATCAGTAGGGTATATAGTTGATAGTCCTGTCTAATAGAATATACAAATTCTATTTCTATGATAAAAGAAGTCTCTAAACAAATTTTAGTTGACTTTTATGTATAAAATATTACAAAAGTCAGCAGAAGTTTTTTTTTTTTTTTTTTTTTAAATCAATTAACTATAATTATTCCAAAAGGATATCGATTTCATTTGAAAAACTATATATACAATTTCGATTTAGTGCAGGAAACTTTTGTAATTTAAACTGATATGTACAAAATGAAAGCTTTAGTATTTTTTGGGAATTTTATATAGAGATATACTGATCAAGTTTTCCCCCTGAGCTCTTGAGAACATTTTAAGACTTTCACCTAGAAAGTACAGGGTATACAAATACATCAATTGCTTCATGGCTTGTAGGGGCTAGGGAGTGCAATGACAGCGACAGCGGATGCTAGGATATTAGAAAAGCCACACGGCCCAACAGAAGCATGTTAAGTGACAGCCAAGTGCCACACACACACACACACACACACATGCACACACGTATACGCATACTCTCTTTCACACACACTCGCTCGCCCACACACAATGGTCAGCACTGATAATGACCAACGCTACAGATCGATATGGAGCATTTCAAGTGTGAAAATAATATGACAGGAGTAATCAAGGCGACAACTGGGGAGCAAGCCCTAACCGAAGCTAACAGAATTTGCGCACAGCCATTGATATTGATTTCAAACGCGGTAAAATGCGTCGTATACGCAACGTGGCAAAATGTGTAGCGCCGGCGTCGGCATCGGCGTCGACATCGGCCTGGAAGCCAAGGCAACAGGAAATGGGCAAAATAACTGTGCGGAAATGTTGAGAGCGCATTGCAATGCGTCCCCAGTTGAATGACTGGCTGGCTGGCTGGCTGGCTGGCTAACTGGTTGACTGTGCTGTTAACACATGTCACTGGGCCATAATTGCAAGCCATATATACAATATGTGTGTGGGCGAACTGGAGCTGGAGCGGTAACTGGAAATAGAAATGGCGATGGGAAGTGGAGATGTGAATGAGCCACAGACAAGCTGGGAATGAATGACAATTGTTTTGACACGCCTGACAGCTGGCGGGGCGAAGCATGGCCAAAACGATCAGAGGCAGCTGTCAAAAGCAGACAACAGCTGCCATCACACACACACACATGCGTGGAGAGAGAGAGAGAGAGTGGGAGAGAGAGCGAGGGAGCTAAAGCACAGACTATGCACAGGCTGATAAAATTCATAGCACCCGTTAACACACGCACACATTCACACACCCACACACACACGCACACACACACTCCCACACACACTCCCACACTTAAATTGAATTCTTCATGCTGTTTGACGTCAAAAGTTGATGTGAAAATTAGTTTGTTGTGCGTTTTTCGTTGAAATGCAACTCAATTAGCAAAACTTTAAGCAGTTTTCAATTATGCAAAAGCAATTGCAAAGCAGGTCTACTATGTGTAAGCTCTGCCAGTGCCTTGGCAGTTAATTTCGCATTCAATTTACACAACGGCAGCAGCACATGACAAACTGTAAGCTCCAAAGCGGAGCTAAAGCTGGAGTCAATGCAGGCAGCGTTTAGCCACTTAAATTGGCAACGTGTAGCAAAGCCAAACCAAGTGCGTTTGCCACGCAACGAGCGCTGCTTGATTATGGCTCTTATGGCAAACCTAACAAATCTCTTTAGTTGACAGCTCTCAAAAAGTCCCAACCATTGATTAATAATCTCTCTCTGTCTGTCTCACTCTGACACACGCTCTCTCTCTTTTTCTGTCGCTCTGCTGGTCTACATTTTTGCCGACTGCATGCCACATGGGTGCTGTCTGGCTGCCTGACTGGTTGCTAGGCTCCCCAGCTGGCTGGCTGGCTGGCTGGCTTGCCTTGTTGCCTATGCCTAAAGCTGCCTCTGGATAGCACATATATTTAGCCTGCGACAGCAAATTTGTTGCCAGCTGCAAGTGTTGACCCCTTCCTGCTCCGGTTGCTGCTGCTCCTGCTGCTGCTCCTGCTCCTGCTCCTGCTCCTGTTCCTGCTTTTGCCCCTTATCCACTGTTCAAGCACTTTTATAGCTGCAACTGACGCTATGCTGCCCGCTACCCGAACTTTGTTGCCTTTTGTAATACCCTGCGCGAGTTGGCAAAGATGAAGTGTGGTGTAGTTTGCTTTAAGTCAAGATTCTTTTGTTATAGCCTAGACAAAATATTTTTACTGTATAAGCGATGCTAATTATATAGCTACATAGCTTAAACTCCACGATATCATAACAGGCAGTCTTGTATATATACTAATTCTTGGCGTCCTACTGTGCTTCACTACTACGTGCTCTTTTTCGAATTTCTCGCAATTTCTGGTCGCTTCGCTATGTCAACTGACCCCCACAACGACCCTGTTCAAATGCCAAAATAGCCATCCCACTCCCACGCAGCAGCCGCTGTGACTACGTTCGGCAACCATCTTTGTCTCACTCTCGCGGAGTGAGAACTGAGAAACATTGCCACCAACACGCAAATTCACTCCAACCATATCTCCACAACAACTCTGTACACGCTTTCAGTCTCTCACCAATACTACTGTAAGAGTGGGAGTCTCTGCTGTTGGACTGAGCTGTTGACTTCACAGTCTCGCGTTATATTTATATGCATAAGGCAGGCTATACTTATATTTATATGTCTTATAACTCAGTTGACGGCTCAAGTAGTAATTCTGTTTTGAGATTTGTAGAGTTAAGAGCCTTGGAAACCGTTCTTTAATTTTTTTCCGATTTCCAGTTCATTTCCATTTATTTACATATTTTGCTCTATGAATGGAAAATATTTCCAATTTCATGTATTATGTATAATAATAAAATAGAGTTAATAGGATAGAGTAAATTTTTATTATTAATAAAGGAATTTCAATTTGCCTTTGAATTGAAGTTTTATATACCATGCTCAGATTACCATCTGAATCAATTTTAAGCGCTTTCTCTTTGCTCCAGTTGTCAAGTTTAAATTTCTCACTTGCAAATGCAGCATATCGCTCGTGTAGTCGTGCATGCCCACGTTCTTTGAATATTTATGCTTTGTTTTTGTTTATTTTTTTTATTGTTCTTGACGTCGCTCGTAGTTGTATTTCATTTTGTTTTGCTTTTTGCACGAAGCGAACCTTTTGTTTATTTGCGCTTCGGCGGATCACAAAAACTATAATAGCAGCAGCAGCAGCAGTCCGGGTTCGGGTCCGGGTCCGGGTCTGGGTCTCATTCCAGGACATGCAGCAGGACGCGAATGCGAAAGCGGACTCTGGCACCTCGGCACAAAAGCGAAGCACCGTCTGTGCAGCTAAAGCGCAGCTAACAAAAATGTTTATGTGCTGCTGGCGCTGTGCTGGAAAGTGGGCTGCTAAAAAAAAGGTGATGACGCGGGGAGTGGGGAGAGGGGGGGACGTGGCAAGATTGTAGTATGCACGTATGTGCAGTTATAAATTGCAGCTCGCGCGCAACGTTTGCCAGTCAGAGGAAGTCTGAGCGAATCGGCATACGAGATGGCGTCAAAAAGAGAGCCCAAACAAGAATGGAGTGTGAGAGAGAGAAAGTGAGAGAAGAGGGAAGAGCAAGTCCGAGTGTATAAACGAGCGAGTGCAGGGGGCTGGCTAGTTGGGTTAGTTGTTGTGTGGCAAAGCCACAGGCAGAGCGCGAGGTCGCCCCAGCTGCAGGTGATGCATCTGTGGTTGTCCAAACACGCTGCGTATGTGTGTGTGTGTGTGTGTGTGCGTGTGACGTGTAAAGGGCGGAAAATAGTTAGTGTAATAGAATTAACAAAACAAAATAAAAGCTAAGCACAATTAAATATTTGCGCTGCCAGCCAAAGCAGAAATGTGGTGTGGCAGCAGCTGCTGCACCACAACAATTGTTGTTGTTGCACCTAGAAATATTGCCAAAAATTCAACTGACAAACAAAACAATTGCAATAGGTGCGAGACAGGTCATCATTTAGCTGCCACATGCAACACACTGTGTCAACATGACAATTTTAGTCATCAAAAGACCATTAGCAAATGTTTTTGTAACAAGCACAAGCCCAAAAAGTGGAAAGTGAATGGATATATATATATATTTTTAATGGCACTTGTTCAACTTTGTAGTAAAATTTGTTGGTCAGGGTATTTGCTAGTCGAGTACTCTCCATTAGATCACTTTGTTTGTTTCAACGTATTTCAGCTGCGGTTGGCTCCATTTATGTTTATTTGCATTTTGTATTCTGCAATTTGCATTTCGCCAGGTGGGCGTGGCACACTCAAACGCCCTGCTCCGACAGCCATCAATATGAATCGCTTCAATAAATAACATAAAGCGTAACAATGCGGGAACCTGAACCCAA